ATTAAAATGGGACATAACCGTTGCCGGCGGTCCGCCCGTGGCCCGACCCGGCCCGGCCCGGACCGCCGGTACAAATTTTTTTTTTTTTTGGAACCTGGACCGAACCGCGGCCCTTGCGGTTCGGTCCAACGGACCGACCCGAATATGGCCGGTCCGGGCCAGTTCTGTACCGGTTCACGGTCCGGGCCACGGGCCGGTTCGGCCCGTGGCCATGTCTAGGCAGAGCTAGCACTCACATTTCAATTCGGGTATGATGGCGAGTATAGTGGGGCCGAGGAGGTCGAAGGCATCGTCGTTGGCGAAGAGAGGAACACCAGTAAGGTGACTGTTGGTTGCCATCGCCATCACCGTTGGAAAAAAATAGTTTGCGGTCCTAATATCACCAATCAGAGGTATGAAGTTGTTTATAAGAAATTATGAAAAGATTTCCGCGCCTCAGGTATTCTACATAACTAATAATACATATTTTTGGGATGATGTATCATGTTTCTCCTTCTATTTTTTAAACTACTTAAATTACTTATTATATACATGTAAAACATCCTTAAGAAGTTCAAAATATGTATCTTTTTTTTGGTATTAATAAGTTTATGCCTTATGTGTTGGGCCTCTTTAGTTTAAAATAATAATAATCGTTATATTACTAGTCGCAGTGTATGCTTGAAGAATGCATTTTAAGCAAAGGAACTTCCAGATGCGGAGGAACTTGTTCGAGAGCGACCCAAAAGGGTATTTTTTTCTGTTTCTATTCCTGCAACAATACTAAAGACCCTCTTTAATTGAAGACTCTGCACTAAAGCAAGCATCGATTTGGAATCCATTCTCTTAGAAACCACCGCATGACAAAAAAAAAAAATACTGGAATCCATACTCTCTTTGGACTAACCTATATTTTGATAGAATACTAGAATGACATCATGACGGTGTTTTTGTGAGGATAGCTGCTGAAATTCCTAAATTTAATGTAGACTACCAGAAGAATTTTTTTTGCTATAATTCTTTTGTTCTCAGGATTTTTCTTCTATGTTTGATAATCAGCTACAATGGATGGCCATAGTGGTTAAGATGAATTGTTAATATTTCAACGAAATCAATTAGTAGATATTTTTGGATTAAATACTTTAATAATATCGTGAGGGTGTTTTTGTTTGAATGGGCTGTTAAAATTTCTATTTTTTTTTTTTTTTTNNNTTTTTTTTTTTTTTTTATTTCAGAATGTAGACAAGCCAGAAGAAATTTGTTTTCCATGTCTACTGTAGAATTTGACAATAAGTTGCATGGATGTCAAAATCTATAGTAGTTATTGTTGATCAGAACTTAACCTTTTGCCATCTTAACTTTTGGCTTTCCTTAAATATAAATGCTTGTCATAACTTTTCGTAACTTATATTTTGGTTTGTATAATTATTTTACGTTTCATAAACCGTCATGCGATTTGGAATAAATCAGTTAGTGCCCAGCTCTTTTCAGTATTCAAGAGAGAATTAGAAATGTTAGAAAAGGGCTGCTCAGGTGGAAGAGTAATGGAACTACAAATTCGGGCAAAATTCTGGAGGAATGCCAAATAAAACTGGAGGGTCTAAGGGAGCAGGGTGGTTTCAGGGACTGGGTTGAGTGGAAAAGAATTCAAGAGATCCAAAACCGAGCTAGAGAAGATGAAGAAATATTCTGGGGTCAAAAGGCTCGAGTGAACTGGCTTAAACATGGGGACAAAAATTCAAAATTTTTCCAAGCAAGTGTGAAGCAAAGGAGAACCAGAAATAGCCTTCAAAATTTGGTTAATTGTAATGGAGACACTTGTAGGAGCACTGCTGAAATTGTGAGAGAAGTGGAGAGGTATTTTAGGGAGCTGTTTAAATCAAGTGGGCCTGATGTGGATTATTGTAGTTTGCAAGGAATCCAAAGAACCATTTCTGATCAGATGAATTTGGAACTTACAAGAGAGGTGGAAGATCATGAAATTAAATCTGCTCTCATGGGAATGGATCAACTGAAGGTCCCAGGGAGTGATGGCATGTCACCTATATTTTTTCAGAAATCTTGGTCCACTGTGAATTCTCATTTTTGTTCAGCTGTCAAAAATTTTTTCCATAAAGTCAAAATGCCAAAGGGGTCAATCATTCAGTGATAACCCTTATTCCTAAAATTCAAAATGCTACTAAGGTGTCTGATTATAGGCCTATTAGTTTGTGTTCAGTAGTGTATAAAGTCATTGCCAAAGTCTTAGCAAATAGGTTGCAATCTGTGCTTAGTGTGTGTATTTCTGTCAATCAATCTGTTTTTGTGCCTAATAGGCAAATTTTGGATAATGTGATCCTTGCTAATGAATTTATTCACTACTTAAATAATAAAAGAAAAGGCAAGGATTCCTTTATGGCAGTGAAGTTGGATATGGCAAAAGCTTATGATAGGGTGGAATGGCCTTTTTTATTGAAAATCTGTAAATATATGGGTTTTTGTGATTCAGTTATCCATTGGATTTATGCCTGCCTTAGTTCTGTTTCTTTTTCTTTTAACATTGAGGGTGAAGTTTTGGGTTTTGTCCAACCATCCAGGGGGATTAGACAAGGAGATTCTTTATCTCCTTATCTTTTTATAATCCTTTCTGAGGCCTTTTCTAATCTATTACATCAAGCTTGCCTTCATTCTGGGTTTAGAGGACTTAAAATATCCAAATTTTCCCCTTCTGTTTCTCATCTTTTTTTGCTGACGATTCTATTCTCTTTTGCAAGGCAGATATTTATCATGCTCAAATAATTATTGATATTCTGCATGAATATAGTTATTCCTCAGGTCAACTGGTTAATATGGAGAAATCTTCTATTTTTTTCTCCAAGAATTCGGACTCTTCTCTTAAAACATCCATCTGCAGAGTTCTTCATGGTATTGCTTGGGTTAATTCTTCCAATTATTTGGGTCTCCCTTTGGGTATTGGTAGATCTAAAAAGCAAACTTTTAATTTTATTCTGGAAAGAGTGAAAAAAAAAAGTGGGGAGTTGGAAAAATAAACTGTTGAGTGAGGCAGAGAAAGAAGTGTTGATTAAGACTGTATTGGGAGCTTTACCTATATATGTTATGTCTTGTTTTAAGCTTCCTTTTTCTTTGTGTGCTGATCTTGATAGGGTGATGGCAGATTTTGGTGGGGGCAGTTAGGGAATGGGGGTAAGAGGATTCATTGGGTAGGGTGGGATCATGTGGCTAAACCTAAGTCTGAGGGAGGTTTAGGGTTTTACAATTTTAAACTCATGAATCAGGCTCTTTTAGGTAAGCAGTTGTGGAGACTTTTGACTCAACCTAATCTCCTTGTTAGTAGGATTTTGAAGGGCAAATATTTTCACAAGATGTGTTTGATGAGTGTAGGGAAGAAGAGTGGAGACTCTTGGGGGTGGAATAGCTGGCTAGGGGCTAGGGAAGGGTTTAGATTAGGAATGAGATATCAAGTTGGGGATGGGAGGTCTATTAGAATTTGGGATTCTCCTTGGATCCCAAATATTCCCCTCTTTAAACCTTCTTGTCATTTTGTTGGAGATAGAGAGAATTTGGTGTGGATAAGGGATTTGGCTACTGTTAGTGGGGGTTGGGATAAGGAGTTGATTCTTCAGTCATTTGCTCCTGATGAAGCTGCTCAGATTCTAAAATTACCAAGCATTAAGCAGGGGGTTAAAGATAGAATAATTTGGGATGCTTCATAGTAAAGGGATATTCACTGTTAAGTCACTATACAATTTATTGATTAACAAGCATTTGATTCAGCAGATGCAGGCTTCTTCTAGTGACCAGAAGGAAAAAGAGGAAAGGATGTGGAGAGATACCTGGAAACTGCCAGTGAAACACAAAATCAGAAATTTCTTATGGAAGTGCTGGCAGGGTCATTTGGGTACAAATTTAAATTTAAGGAGAAGGGGGATGGGGATTGATTCTATCTGCAAACTCTGTGGGGAGGAGGATGAAAATCAGGATCACATCTTTTTCAAATGCTACAGAGCCAAATTATGCTGGAAATTAATAGGTATTAATTGGATTAACCTCTTGCATACCTCATGTACTTTTAGAGACTGGTGGATGGATTTAACTTGTGCTAAGTCTTCTTCGATCATCAAAGATAGGGTTAGTCTATCCTCTTATTTACTTTGGTGGTTGTGGAAGACTAGAAATTTGTGGGTATTTGAGAATACTTGGGTTTCTGAGATTGATTTGGTTAACAGAGCTAAATCAGAATGGATAGAGTTTAATGCTGTTACTGAGGGGGGTGAAGTGATGTTATTGACTGAAGAAGCTGAGAAGGCTGGAAGGAAATTTTCCCAGGAAGGGCAGGTTTCATTATCTGTCAGTGCTTAATTCACTTGTAGCAATCTCAGAAAAATCAGTGGATATGCCTGGAAAGGAGGAAGACATCTCAAAGTGTGGACTAATTCAGCAATCACAACAAGTGAAGACACTGGAGCTGAGCTGAACAATATCTTATGGATTCTAAATTTGGCAAGTAAAGAGGAATGGAAGGAGGTGATCTACTGGACCAATTCAAGGATAATTGCAGAAGCACTTAACAATTTGAGAACCCTTGCAGGTCTTGAAAATTCTCAGGTGCAGGATATATTAGGTCTAGCTAGATTATTTGTTTCTTGTTCTTTTTGTATTGTCAAAGCTTTCTTAGTACTTTTTAGTTTGCTGTTTTTAGTAGTTTGTGGTGAGTATTGGGAGCAACTTGTTTTGGCTCTCACTGTTGTACTCTATTACCAACAATTGTTAGTTGGTATTTTCAGTTCCAGTTGGTCTCGAATTTGTATTGTACTCTTCTTGTTGAGTTTTATTTAGGAAAGGTTTATCGTTNTCAAATGAATTGCAATTTTTTCATAACCCTAAGTTTCTTTGACTTAATAATGCTTTACAGGTGATCCTTGGCCAATCGACGTCCTTGGTTGTAGATGCTTGTTTTGGAGCTACTTTTTTCGCTTCTCTGATAGCTACATTGAAAAGAGCCTAGACAACCATACAGTACAAAATCTAATTTAGATTGTTCCGATTGTTCTTTTTGTACATTGTACTTAAAATACAATTATTAAATGCATAATTTTGTAGTTAATTATTGATTAAATTGGGTCCGATTGTGCGTGCACAGTTGTAACCCCACTATATTGTTCTTAAGTTGGTTGAAACTACAATTATACATGCCAAAAAAAAAATGGGTATGTGTATTTTTTAATTTTGACAAATATTAGTTATAATTATAGACTGGATTAGGACCGGTTGTGCGTGCACAGCCCTCCAGCCAACTAGTCTATACTTGTATAAAGAGGCTATCCATTTACTAGAATTAGTAGGAAGAAAAGTCAAAGATAATTAATGCATTCTATTTCTATCAATTAATTTTTATTTAATTATTTTTTCCCATAAAATCGATACAAAAAAAAAATTATGATTTTACCAAAATAAATCAGATGTCAAACCTAAATTGAAGGGTTTGGTTGTCTATATTGATATTGATTTACATAAATCAATACATTTAATATTTATAGTTTGTGTAGATTTAAAATTCCTTCTTATCTTTATACAAAAAATCTTATCTAATTGTATGGAAAATATGATCTGAGTTGTTCCTCTACATATAATGTGATTTCCGTATATCAAGATTTTTTTCTTAAAAGTCTTAACATATATTGATTCAACTCTACTAATTATAAATTATAAATCTCAAAATATTGAGTCATCGTCTTCCTCACTTTCAACCTCCTGCGAAAAAAATATCCTCAATCAGTCTTTCATAAAACAATGAATCAAGGATTTTGCTTAATCAAACAAGTTAATATGTCGAATAGACCTATGCTTAAAGTTTTAATTGTAAGAATATTTTTACAAGACTGGGGCAGCACGTACAAATCCTATCTCGAGTTGGTTCTGCACGATAAAACTGTAAGCCAAATTATTTTTACTTTTTTTTTTTCGAAATATGAAACATATATTTTTGATGTTTTTTATTTTATTTTAAAATTTAGCATTTGCCTTATTTCTTCTGGAGATCGTGTATATATTTAGATATTTACATTATTTATGTTTTTTAAACAAATTAATTTTTTATGATTGCTTTTTTGTACATGTTTAGTTTGTGAGAATGACAAGTTGTCCAATAATCAAACTCATAATGTTGTGTACAAGGATGTCTTTCATAATATATGATTATTTCTTTGTCAAATATTATCTTATTGTACAATTTACGTATCATAAAACTTTTATTTAATATTGCATCTTATAATATAATATTCCCCAAATAAATATATCCCGTGCCTCGCACGGGTCACGTACTATATATATCCCATACATTTTTCTTTATTCATGTATATAATTATAAGCCTGGATACATAACCTTAAAATTGTGCACCCCGTGCATCGCACGGGCTCTGAACTAGTTTACCTAATTAAATAGGTTAAGTTCCTTATATGTGCAAATAAATTTGCAAATGTGTATATTTGCAATTATTTGGCAACAGCCATGGCACAAATGTAAATGAGCTTTATAATTTTACGATGAAAACGAATAAGAGATGGCTTGAAGGAAGCAAACTTCCTATGTTAATTGCCAAGACCAAGCCCATTTTATTATCCAACATCCACTTATGATGATTCATTAAAACCTTATATACAAGCAAGAGGCTAAAGAGACGAAAATGTATTAAGCAACGAAAATGCAATACGTCCTGCAGTCTAATCATGCAAAATAAAGTTTCACAACCAAATAGCGGATTGAGACAACAAAGATTGAGTCAAGCACAAGTGTTCTTAGGTTAGTCTAAAACTATTTCATAATAAACCCTAACGATTTTCACTCAATACATGAATGAAGTCAAAAGACGACCATCTCGGCAAAATACAGACTCCACAATCACCTCCCTGCTATTAACATCATCAGAATTCCCAGCCTTACAATATCTCTGCAAAAAACTACCGACCTGAAATTGAATAATCACAATGAATTAGAAGTGACATTTAATTTATCAGAAGAGGAATACCATTAAGTTGCGCATAACTATTGTATTGGAAAAGCTTCATGAAGGGAACCAAAAACGCCACAAAGGAGACGCGAAAGACACAACAAGCAAAACAACTCAAAAAGTTTTTTATTAAAAAAAACGTAGCTTAACACAACATCTATCACTTACCATTCCAAGTGCCTTCTTGTATTCGTCTGATCCAGGACGAAAATGTTTAGCAAGCTCAACTTTCATATCCTCATCCTATAATATCATTCATAACAATGCTGAAACTAAATAACTGCTTTCAAACAATTTTAATTTTAGGAGTAAATTTCCCCAAGCACCACACAGAAAAGGAGGAAAAAATGAAAAAAAAAAATAATAATAATAAAAAAATTAATCCATCGAACATATGTTTTTCTGGGTTAAAAGAAAATAGACATTACCTTCCTACCAAGAGTAGAAGAACACCTAAACTCAATAAAGGTTTCCTGCCAATCAAAAGAAATCCAACCAATCCACGTCAGCCATGGTCTCCCAAATCGAACAGAAATCAACATACACTACTAAATAAATCATTGTCTGAATCATAAAAACAGCTACGGCCCAACAGACGCTTTCAACATACCTTAACATTATGTACAATGGTAGCGTCGGCATCAGAAGTTTCTACGTCAGCATAAGAGGTTTCTTGTCTCTTAGCAATGGAAGCAACTAAAGATGCGTCATCAGTCTCTACCTTTCTCTTAGCAGCTGAACCAGATTCGACTTCCTAATGGATGATCATTCATTAAACACTGAAATATCTCCATTACAGAACAGCATTCATTCATTCATTCATTCCACACAAATATTTTCCATTGAATTCATTAAATCCATCCTTAGAAACGAGTATCCTTCTCCTGACCCAATTCAGAGTAAACTAACAACAAACATATTACTAACGAATAATTCGTTCTGTATCATAACAACGCCACATGTTGTCCAGTTCATATAATCGAGCCATGCTTCCCCGAATTGAACGATATAAATCAACGCACGGCACAATAATAATGAAGCAATTGATCCTCAAAATCCTTTTCGTGACCCAATTGAAACCAAACCGACCACAAATATATTACTAACTAACATGTTGTCGAACAAAAATACTAGCATTCGAATCATGCTTCCCCAAATCAAATGATAAATATCCACACAGAGTCATGATTAAGCAACTGATCCTTAGAAAGGAGAATCCTCGACATCATAAAAAACATCTAAAGCGGGGCAGTAAGGAGAAGAACTCTACGTACCTCCTCGAATATATCAGTATCAGAAACTGCTTGTTTATCTTCCTGATCGAGATAAAATTCAAAAAAGTTAAAAGAAAATTCCAATTTGTTAACGAAACAAGAAAATCGATTCGAAATTTGAGCAACTAAATTATGAAATTAACCAAGGAAGCACCTGATCGAGAGCCTTCATGGCGTTTTGGGGTTGATAGCTTCAAGGTAATTGGAACGCCTGAATTGAAATAGGTTTCTTTTGTCTTGGAGGGGAAATTTTATTTATATAGGCACATGTGTATGAAGTGGGGGTTTTTCTCAATACAAAACCTGATAGGTAAGGGACTTGAAAGATGTTTTTCTCAATTCGGAATCTAAACGTCATAAAACTAATTAAGTCTTATAATTAACAAAATTCATAACACCATTAAATTAAGAGTTGATTTAAAGTTTTAAAACACTAAATCTATTACAAAGTAAAAAAAAAAAATGAAGAAAAATAAGGAAAATACGAGATTGTTTGAGAAAATTAAGGAAAGTATGAAGCTCTTGCCCGGTTTTCTTGTTATCGTCTATTTCAGTTTTTTTTTTCAAATATTATGCGAATGTTTACTTATTATTTTATGTGAGTAAGTACCAATCTTTTTTTTTCTTTTTTTTTTAAACTCTCAATTTAATGGTGTTATGAGTTTTGTTAATTATAGGACTTGAGAAAAAAAATCTTTCAGGCCCCGATTTGATAGTTTACCCATCTTTCGGGTCTTGTATTTGTTGTTGTATGAAATTTAACGACTATATAAAAACTGTAGCAAGGTGTAATTAAAGTAAAAGCAATATAAATTTCGTACTATTGTTGTCTTTTTGTGAGTACAGCAGGTCGGTTTTTTGTGTATAACCGAGCTATTTTTGTATATCCGTATTCAATATGCGTAAAAGATCCACGTACAATTATAAATTATGTTATTTATACTACAATGCATTTGACTTTTCGTACGAGATAGATCAGATCGCATTTAATGTTGAGCAGCTTCATTAAAGCGGTCTGTATTGCAATGGGGGGACAACAATGATTACAATTTTGATATGTGGTCCAATCAGGAAGGTGCCTTGTCACCAGCTTTGGAATTCAGTCACCTCGGGCCTCGGTCTTTGTAGATAATCTTCTAAGAAGAATATTCGAAAAGTCGGTTTCTTGTCTTTTATGCGAGGTCGGTTCACCGCCTTAAGTAGGTAGGTTGTCGTTTATAGGTGAGGTCGGTCGTCGCCTTTTTGCACCGAGGTGAATTAAGTTTGTTGTGGAAGTTGGGCTGGATGGAGTGTTTTGAAGATAATATCAATAAATTTTTCTTCAATCTTGACAAATCAGGTCGGTTGTCAACAGAGAAAAATTGTTGATGCACGAAATTTGATCAACATAGGGTATTCGGAGAATTGTTTGTATAGTTGATTTTGTTGAATTTCTCTGTCTTTTTGGTGTAATAAGATAAAGAAAATTTAAAGAAAAATTTGAAGAAGAAGGAGCTGTTTTTCCAGAAAGGATGATGGAGAGAATTCCTCCTCCTTAAGGATGAGGGAGAGAATTCCTCCTCCTTAAGGCACTGCCTTCTCCTGTGCAGATCAGAGAGAAAAATAATAAGACCCCCCTCAGATTTATCTGTCTGTGTCCATCATCGAGGATATATATATAAGTTTAATGGGCCCGATATTATTACAAGCGGTATTATTTTTTGACCCTAAAATAAAACAATTGATTTAATACATATCCACGTGTAATATTTAAATAGTCGAGGCCAAAATTGTATATCAACAGTATTGAAAAAACTCCTACTTAATTGCATAATTATTCCGCACTTTATCAATTATGTTCGTCTATCTGTCGCATAACTTATTATAATTTTTGTTTCGCCCGCCTTGTTGGCTGAAAAAGTTAACTTATTAATTGTCGGAGTGGAAAACTTAGTTCATGTTTAAAGCTGGTGAAAATAGTTATTTCCTCATTAATATTTTGACTGCAATTTCAAAACTTATTTTCACCACAACACGTCAAAAATGCTTTTATCAATAGTTGCAACTGAGGGATGAAATTTATTTTCACTAAAACACTTCAAATATGCTTTTATTTTTATTTTTCTTCTAACAGTTTCATGTTTTACTGGGAAGTGTTCTAAAACATGCTGAAATTCATTACATCTCCTGCGCGTGCCCACTTTGGCAACCAAACCAAGAACGGAGAATGGCTGTTTTTTTTTTTCCTTTTCTTTTCCAAGTATTAAAAATCTATGCATGGCACTTCTCATACACGAAGATTTTACGCGAGCATGCTATTAAGAAGATCCTGTGATTGAAATGCTAGCGTCTGTAGAAATAGGTTCCGCATACCATTGGTTCGTTGGACGGGTAATAAAGCTGGCCTCTGCATTCACATCAAACAGAAAGTCCAGATGAAACCAATGAAAAGAAACTGCAACCATAACAAAAATCGATGTCTTGTTCACAAACTGACTCGAGGTTAGCACACAGATTGTAGAATTAGCTGCTTTCGTCAAACATATCAAACTCACCAGAAACAAAATCCAATCAGTTCATTAGATGATTGGAGTTTGTTCGGGATTATATACAAAAAGGCTGCTTCTAAATACTTCCATAGAACTTTGATTTGATATACAAAATTACCAGTCACTCCACAAGAACACCTAAAATGACTTTTTATAAGATTTAAGACAACTTTGACGTTCATGTGTTTGTCCCTAAAAGCCCACATTCATTTTTATCTAGAATTTATGAACACGCCCTTAATTTAACCACATCACCATGATATAATTCTATCAGGAGTACAAACTAAATTGTGTACATTGATTTATTTACCTGATACAAAGACATTCTTGTACTCATCGTCATCATAGACAAAATGAGGAGGATCTGGAGAGCCTACACCTACGATAGTGCTCCCACTGCACAATAGTGAAGTAAAAAATAGTTACATGGCCAAGAACAAAGTGGTAAAACGGTATAATCTGCACATTTCAGATAATGATCTTTTCAGTACACCCACTATAAACAAGAACGGCCCTTTTGATAATACATTCATTAATTTCTCTCCCATTAATTCATGATCGCATTGATTAAAATGCGAGAAAGGTGTGAAACGAGAATAAAATGATTTTGAAGCACCTTGTGTTTTATCCCATCAGGTCAACTGAATACAAATTAATCCATCATAAAGCTATTCTCTTTAGAGGATGAAACCCATGGGTGGATTACAAATAGTAGATATAATTTAAATTTGCATATAAGAATGTACATGGCCAATGAATAGAGTAATGTAACTGGTGGAATGGTCATTACAAGGACATCTAGACATTAGGAACTGTGAAAATCCTGAATAATGGTTGATGGCTATACAAGTAAAAGATATGAAACCCANGAAAAAAAAAAAAAAAAAGTCGTCCTCTTAAAAACTGGCCTTGCTTGGTGATACATGTCTTTACTTGGTTTCAATATTGAAATTGCTCATAATAATGAGAGACCATGCAAATGCAGGATGGATATGAGTAAAATTATTTTCGTTTTCTTTTTTAAATAAATAAAAGAAACCTTTATCTTACACATTGAAAAAGGTATGGAAAGGAAGCCAGAATCCTTTGATTCCAGTTGCCAAATTTGTTTTCAACAATAGGATCAGGTGAACAAGTAAATACCTGCCGGACATGAAAACGGCATCATACTGTCCTCGACCTGCGGCAGCTATTCGCTGTTTTAACCTTTTTAGAGATGGGAGGACCTCAAAAGCTGGTGGTTCTGAAAAACATCATATGACTATATATTAAGTAAAACATACATTAAATTGTGACAAAAAAAAGTGACCAACCAAAGCATAAGAATAGGATGAAGGTATTAGTCTTATTTTGTGCAATGCCAGAGAACAGGTCAAATTACAGGTTTTATCTTATTACATGAACCAAGAGGAGGTTACTGTTTCCAACTTAGAAACTGTAGAACCCATTTTCTTTAACAACTATCCCTTTGATTCAATATTGTTTCACAATAAGCTTCATCAGAAGCCTATCATACAAGATTATAAGACATAAAGAATTAAAGGAGCACAAAATTTTGTATAGGCTGGCTCCCAAAGACGTATCTGTCCATCAGACGTAGCAAGGGAGAGAAGTTAAATAAGTATTTGCTTAATTCTGAACTATAAAACTGATTCTGTCTCAAAAAATGGACCTTGAGGTCTTTCTTCGTGAAGACCCACTGATTACTTTGCTTGACTTAAAGGGAGAAGTAAGTTTAAATCTAATGCTGCCACACGAACAGCTCTTGAGGTCATACCTAAATCATTGATGCAAACATCCTGTGATATTCCATTACTTGAAATCTTCTCTAGCAAACTCAAAGGATCAATCTTGCTCGTATTTTCCATCCTAAGGGCCTGAGAGAACAGTGATATAAGAAGGTTGTGGAAGAATTAACTCCTAACCAAGACAATATTATCCAGCAACTTAAAATGCTCTGTAGCACCTTGTAAACTTCAGCAGTGGGGCACGCCTCTTGCGGTTTAATGAGAACCATTGGAAGGTCAAGGGGTATAGATGGAGGAATATTTTCAACAACCTGGAAGTTTTTCTTATTAAGTGACCTCAAAATACGCACATTTTTTTACCTATCATTAAGTATGAGAAACACCATGCTATATTTTTAGCGAACACATCACGAATAGATAAATTACAATTTTAGAAATGTGGTTATAGGGTGTTAGGAAATAATAGAATTGTACTTAAAAAGTATAATAAAAGAGCCTCATAAATTTAAAAGCCTCCTTCTTTTTTTTTGGTCCCTGAAAATTTTAAAAATGACAAAATCAATGTCATTAACAGTTTCATACCAAACCAGCTGATGTGAAAATCAGTTTCCCTTAAATCGTAACAATTCACATGCCAACTTACTCATTGGATGTCCATAGTAGGAAATGTTAACACATGCACTTTTCCTCGATTTCCAAGTATAAATCAAACTGAATGAAATATATAGTTCTCGTTTCCTTAAAAAGATGATAATTATGAGATTTTTGGCAAATATATGATTTACGGCCAACCCCTATAATTGCATGACTCTAATATCAGTTCAGTCTAAAAAAAAACATAATATGACATGAAAAGCTGAATGAGCATATCTTTCATGAGAGAGACTGAATCATATATGCTGAAAACATGCAATACCTCGCCTCTACCCGTGCAATAAGCAGATCCCTGTGAGAAAAAGAAGGGAATGTCTGAGCCAATCTCGCTAGACCAATCTTGAAGCTCCTTTTCAGTGGCAACACAACCACTGAACTGATTTGCCGCCCATAAAGCAGTGGCAGCATTGCTACTGCCACCACCAAGCCCAGCTCCTGTAGGCACCTTCTTATCAAGATGGATCTAAAAGAAAAAAACGAAATCATCTTACAACATACTCATTCGAATTCATATTGTCCAGTTAGTAAATTCATTATCTGTATCCACTGAAATTACCCAGAAGTAATTGTCAACTCCAGTCTTTTTCCTGAAAAGATTAAGAGCCTTAATTATCTGCAAAAATTTGAAAAACAGTTACTTTCCCACAGAAATATCACTGAAAGCAGAAATGACATAAAGGGCCCAATTTTATTATTTTACCAAATTTCTCTCATCTAGAGGAACCCCTGGGACATTGGCCGATAAACAATCTGTCGATTCTGATGGGGACAAAGAGAACTTTATTTTGTCTCCTAGACTGATTACCTGACGAACAAAAGCACTAGATTATTATAAATAGTAGTAATAATATTAATTGTTGCTGCCTATTATATGACAGTAACAGCCTTCAATCCTAATCATACCAATATTAAAAAAGATTATTAAGCAAGAAAAGTTTATTGGCAGAAATGAAAATAACTAACATGGAAGAGAGATGCCAAATCATGATAGCCATCTGCCCTTTTTCCTGTTATTCGCAAGAAAACATTAATCTGCACTCCAAAAGACACCAAATTCACCTAAGTTTATAAAATTCTCCGAATAAGCTAGTGAAGCTTTGATTTAAGCACACAATATATCTAATTTAATTACCTTACCTTACAAGGCGAAAAAAGAGTGAGCCTTGACAACCCAGCATCCTTATCCACTTCATCTGCCAGCTTGTTAAACTTACCTTCAAAATCATAGACAACCTAAACACCACACAATCAAAATCACAACTAAGCTCATTTTTTTTTTCGAAGATTGACTTCCAAACACAGACCAACTTCATTCAATCCAGAAACTCAAAAGATATAACTCAAACATAAATTGTATTAAATGAAAACATGGTACCTCCACTTGTTTTCTGCCAGTTTTCGAATCAGAAGCTGTGGCTTTGACGAAAAGGGACCTTAAAGATTTACATTTTTTCTGGACAATCGATGACCCATTTGGCTTAATCGAACAGGGTAGTAAGAAACTGCTTTTACTGAAGGAATTCGAGTGGGGTTTGCCGTTTGCGGACGAGTAGAGTTGGTGACTGCAGAGGAACTGGCACGAGGCCATTGTTGATAGAAGAAAGTGGACAGCTTTTACAAACTGCTTGAGTTCCAGAGCAGGATGTAAGATGGAAGTCAATGGACAGCAATTTTCTTTTACTTCTCCTTATTTCATGCCTAGGTTGAATTTGTCCAGGCCATGTGAAGAAAATGGAGTGTGCTGTGTGCACCTCGTGCGCGTATTTTTTAATTTGAGTGCGGGTTAAGGAGAAATTTTCAGATGGGGACTCGAGGTGAGGACTTTTTTTCTTTCCAAAAAATAATTTTAAACTATAATAAGATCATGTCCTTATAAAATGCAAGGAATATAAATAAATTCATATAGAAATCGAATATAATATATATTAGTTTTTGATTAATTTGTTGTCCCACATTGAAAGTATACCAATGTTTAGGATCTTATTAGTATAAATAGGTTTCTTGCCGTTGAGTTACAATTACACCTTATTTTATTCTCTCATCTTTTAGAAGGAAATCCTTATTTAAGGAAATCCTAATTTGTGGGTTATCTAACCCTAGTTGTATTTTGTTGGTGAATTTAATAAATTTGGCGTTGCGGTTGGTGGTGCTCGGAGACGTAGGCAATATTTTCCAAACTCCGTTATCAATTTTTGTGTCCTTTTTATTTTTTGTCTTTTATTTATTTGTGTTGGCTTATTTTCATTTGGAATATTGCTTGCCATATTTGTTGGAGGGGTAGTTTTGTCCGCTGCGTTTGGTGTTCTACCACAACAAGTGGTATCAGAGTCGAAGGTTCGCCCTAAGCTTATTCGAAGAGGCGAGCACTGCATTTGAGTTCGAGATGTCCAAGGAGGTCAAGGGCGCATCATCCTCTGCATTCATTCCGGCAAGGACGGTGGCGCATCATCCTCTACTTTCATTCCGGCAAGGACGATGATGCCGAACGTTAGACTCCCGGTGGAGATCTTCGATGGGACCGGACATTTCGGCATGTGGCAAGGCGAAATGCTGGATTGTCTATTTCAGCAAGGCGTCGACATTGCCGTTGAAGAAGAGAAGTCAACCGACGTTGAAGAGAAGGACAAGGAGAATATCAACCGCTTAGCATGTAGAACAATCCGTTCGTGTTTGTCGAGGGAGCAGAAGTACACGTTCAAGAATGAGAACTCTGCTCACACTCTGGGGAAGGCTTTGGAGGATAAATTTATGAAGAAAATTGGCCAGAATAAGCTCCTCATGAAGAAGCGATTGTTCCGATTTGAGTACCGGCATGGCACATCGATGAATGACCACGTCACTGCATTCAATCAGTTGGTTGCAGATTTGTTGAACTTGGACGTCACATTCAGCGATGAAGATTTGGCTCTAATGTTGTTGTTATCACTTCCGGATGACTTCGAGCACTTGGAGACTACACTGCTCCATGGGAAGGACGATGTAACTCTTGCAGTAGTCAGTTCTGCTCTGTATAGCTACGAGTTGAGGAAGAAAAACAAACAAGAGACAAAGAATGCAGCAGCAGAATACGAAGCGTTGATTGCAATAGGTCGGTCGAAGAGCCAAAAGAAGAATGGACGAGGAAGATCACGTTCCAAGGCCAAGCTTGAAAAAGACGAGTGTGCTTTCTGCCATGAGAAGAGACACTGGAAGAAATATTGTCCTAAGTTGAAGAAGAAGGGCAAATCTCCTCAAGATGCATATGTTGCTGAGGGTGGAAGTGAAGACTCTGGAATTTTCACTTGTGGTTTCACCTTCATCATCTCATCCAGACGAATGGATTTTGGTTAAGGATGCACCTACCATATGTCTCCCATAAGGCAGTGGTTCTTCGATTTTCAGGAGATTAATAGAGGGGTTGTCTATATGGGTAATGATAATGCTTGTAGGACAACTAGGATAGGCTAAATCCCTTTGAAGAATCGCGATGGTTCCACCAGAGTTTTGACGGATGTTCGGTACGTGCCGAGTTTGAAGAAAAAACCCATCTCATTAGGAGCCTGGAATCTAAAGGCTTGGTAGTGACTTTGCGAGATGGAGTTTTGAAGGCTACATCCGGCTCGCTCGTGGTGATGAAAGGCATCATGAGGAATAACTTATATTACTATGAAGGTGATACAGTCGTTGGGACAGCAACAGTAGCAGATTCCACCAACAAGGATTCTGAAACAGTCAAGTTGTGGCATATGCGGTTGGGACATGCTGGTGAAAAATCCTTGCAGATATTGGCAAAACAAGGATTGTTGAAAGATGTCAAAGTGTGCAAATTAGACTTTTGTGAGCATTGTGTCCGGGGAAAGCAGAAGAGAGTGAAGTTTGGAACGGCTATCCATAATACCGACGGTGTCTTGGATTATGTTCATTCGGATGTTTGGGGACCTTCTAAGACCCCATCATTAGGCGGAAGACGCTATTTTGTCACTTTCATTGATGACTTTTCCAGACGTGTTTGGGTGTACACTATGAAGATGAAGGATGAAGTGCTTGGTGTCTTCATTACATGGAAGACACAAATTGAGAATCAGACTGGAAGGAAGATCAAGGTCCTACGAGCGGACTATGGTGGAGAATATACAAGTGATCCCTTTCAAGAAGTTTGCCGTAAAAATAGCATTGTTAAGCACTTCACCGTTAGACGGACACCACAACAAAATGGGGTGGCAGAGCGCATGAATCGAACATTGGTGGAGAAAGTTCGATGTATATTCCAATGTTGGTGTTTGTCCCATCTTTGTTGCGTTTTTCGTTGTCTTTTAGTCTTTATTTTTCCCTCTAGGTGTTTTAATTGGTGTTTAGGTCGTTTTATAGTTTATTTAGTGTTTGCTCTCTTCTTGGTCTTTCTTGTGTTTTTCGTTCGTTTTCTGTTTTTTCGTCATCGTTGGTGTGTAGGTTGGAAGTCTCGGGAGAACAGGATTTCAGAAAAATACTAGTTGGGCAAACCTAATCAAAGAGAGGAGTTCGTTGGAAACACACAGGAAAAAGCGGAATCGAATTCCGAGTTGAAACGAACTCAAACAGGCCCGAGAAGCAAAGTCGTGCGAGCTGCCCACCTGCCCAGGCCCCGCGGTGTGCCACTCGTGCATCACCGCGCCGCGCCAGCACCACGACCCAGNGTTGCGCGGGACCGCGCCCTGCCGCGCCGCGCCGCCTGTGCCACGCCGTGCCAACTGCTTGTGTATATAAATGAGATCGGCACTTCGCGAGAAGATCATCCCTCGACTCGAGAACATAAAAACCCTACCCTCTCGTCTCTTTTCTCTCGTTTTTCATCTTCCTTCTATATTTTTCATCGTAGAACACGGATTTGATCTCGGATTTTGCTATTGCTTTGGATTTAAGCCTGTTTATCAGATTCAACTTTGGGATTTTATCATTCGTAAGATTTTCTTTTCATTTAGCTTAATGAATATGAATTCTTGGGTTGATATAAATGCTTGTGTTGATTCAATTATGAGTGGCTAAATTCATATGCTAGGGAATAGGGGATGATGTTTTGATTTCGGTTGTGATTGTAGTGATTGGTTGATTGTTCTTCTTATGCGAGTTGAGCTTTTATCAGGGTTTTCAATTATCGTTCTTGAATACTGAGAATTGTTGAAGGGTGACACTTCAACACCCAATTGTTTTAATTGAATTTGATGTATTCGTGCATGATGTTGGTGATTCTATTTGATTAGTCGGTTAATCACCCTCTAGTCTATATTAATCGACTCTTAGAACCGAAAAGGGAGGAGTCAGTCGAAATAGGCTCGTATAAGCTAGGCTTGTTCGTAAATGTATTGCCTAGGTGTTAAATGAATCGTTAATTTTCCGTTCACATTTGTCCTCTTGTTACGAAAAGTTTTTGAGGATGAATCTCTGAACAGAAAGTTATTCGAATCACTTAACCGAACAATCACTTGTCCATTAATTGCAACTCGAACCAAAACGGATATCCCCGACTCCTTAGCTTCTTAAATTCTGCTTGTTCTACGTGTTAATTTTTGGCTATTTTAATTTGCTTAATTTAAATCTTAGTAGTCGATAATCGTAAATCAAACCAAAATCTGTATTAGAATGTTTAGAGATTTTTATTTTCTTTTGTGTGGTTGAGTAAATGTGCATAATAATCCGGCTAACCTTTCCTCGAGAGACACAACCCGGGGGTTGAATCATTTGGTGTAACTCCGGTAAAAATAACTACAACAAAAGTACTGGGCTGAGGCTGTAACATACGCGCAACACCTCATAAAATCGATTGCCGTCATCATGCAAAAGATGGTAAAACACCGTTGGAGGTATGGTCGGGGAAACCTGTTACTTACTATGGATCTTTACATGTCTTTGGGTGTCCTACGTACTATCATGTGAAGGATTCAAAGTTAGATCCAAGAGCGAGAAAGGCTTTGTTCATGGGAATGACAATTGGCGTGAAGGGATATCGTCTTTTGTGTCTTGAGACGAACAAAATTGTGTTCAGCAGGGATGTTACATTTGATGAATAAGGTATGACAAAGACGATGCAAACCCAACAGGTGGAGATAGATGCGATGAAAAGACGACCAGCCATGATTGACGAACCAATATCAAATGATTCGTCGGATGATGAAGTACAGACTCAAGAATCATTAGAGTTACCAATTGCATTGAGAAAGCCCAGACGAGAGATTCAACAACCTGCTCGATTGGCGGATATAGTGGTTTATGCACTTCCAATTGTTGATGATGACATACCTTTCACTTTTCAAGATGTAATTCGGAGTTTAGAAAATGAGAAGTGGAAAAGGGGTATGGAGGAAGAAATGTTGTCTCTTCAGAAGAATAAAACTTGAAAGGTGACGCAACTACCAAAAGGCAAAAGGGCGATAAGATGCAAGTGAGTATTTGCAAATAAAGATGGATTTCCTCAGAAGAATGATGTGCGCTACAAGGCAAGATTGGTGGCTAAAGGCTACGCTCAGAAGGAAATAGTTGATTATAATGAAGTGTTTTCTCCAGTTGTTAAGCACTCTTCCATTAGAATTTTGTTAACCTTAGCAGCATAGTTGGATTTAGATCTAGCTCAACTTGATGTGAAGTCGACGTTCTTACACGGAGATTTAGATGAGGAAATCTACATGACTCAGCCAGAAGGATTCAAGATTCTTGGAAAAGAGAATTGGGTATGTAAGTTGAATAAATCGTTGTACGGACTGAAGCAATCTCCGAGACAGTGGTACAAACGGTTTGATAAGTTTATCATTAGGCAGAAGTACACGCGAAGCATACATGATCATTGTGTG